GCCAGCTCCAGCCCCAGGTCCTGGGCGATGCGGCCCACGAAGGTGCCGTGTTTGGCCTCCTCGGAGACAGAGTAATGGACCTGGCCGCTCCCTGCCTCCCAGAATAGGAGGTGCAGAACCGAAAGCAGTAATCGCCAGACTCCCTGACCTTCTCTCCAGAAAAATACCATTGCAAGGGTTTTTCCAAATATTGGGTCGCTTTTGCATCGATCAAAAATTTTTAAATATTTCTAGTTCCTTATTTTTCATTTCTTAATCATTCCGTACACGTATTTCAGAGATGGTGAGGAAAACCAGCGTCTTCGTACGTAATAAATGCTGTATATCTTTTGTGGTGAAATACCTTGCGGTAGACAGCGACATCATGTGGCTAAATGTGTAAGTATTAAATAAATGTATTTACCTCTTTTTCCTTCCATTGAACTTTCCCCCATTTTTTTTCCCTGTAATTTCCTTCGAGCACTCCTCAAAGTCTTCATATTTTATCAAAATATATCCTTAGAACTTTTATGCTAATTCATGACTTTAAATTAGGCCAATCCATGGCATATAGTTAAATATAGTAAAATAGTGATTACTATTATAACAGTAGTGGACATCTTTTGGAAATATTTCCGATGTGACAAGTACTATTTCATTTGTTTTAATAGGGTTATCCCATTAAATTCTCACAACAACCCTCTGAGGTAGGTATTAATATGATTCACTTTTTACAAACAGTGAAGTGGAAATGCATACAGTTTAAGTAACTTAAAAGTAATATTAACTGGTGGTGTTGAGTAGGATCTCAATATGATTCAAGACTCATGACTTTAACCACTTGGCCACAAAGTCTACATTTTACAGAAAAATCGGGTCTTTGATATTTGTAACCATCAAAACAACAGACATTGAAAATTTTACTTCTACATTACTATGGCAATCGTTAATTTATAAAATATGTTTCTTACTTTGTAGAATGTCTACGAACCACTCCTGTGTCCTTTATCCAACAACTGCATCTTTGTTAGCTGTCTCAGCTGTTTATATAAAGATGCCACAAGTCAGTCTTTTACAGTGCAGTTATTCTGTAAATTTGGTTTTTGTTGCATGAAAAGACTGTGTGTTTGGATATTTGTTATATTCACATCATACCAAGGAAAAGTATATTAGTTTTTTAAATTTACACATCACTTGTACATTTCAATTTACCTGTATATCTTAACATGTTCACAATATGAAATGATTCTGTTTTTAATAATCTCCACTCTGGATGAATTTCTGGATTCCAATTTGTTAAAAAGCTGTTACTTGTAATAATTGGTGTTTAACCAATTATTAAAGAGAGAAAAGTAACTTTGGAATATGACTCACTTAACACATGTAAGACTAGGCAATGAAATATACTAAATGTCTCTGTAAAGTTAGTAAAAGGCATGCATTCTCTGAGCATTTGGAAGCTGAGCAAAGAAAATTCATGGGAAGAGGTTGAATTTAGAGAGGTAAGAGAATGCCCAGATTTTTGCTTATAGTTGGGCTCTTTTAAAATGAAATCAAACGTGTGCTGTAAGGAAATTCCCTGGTGCTCCAGTGGTTAGGACTCCATGCTTCCACTGCCAAGGGTACAGCCAAAAACAAACAAACAAAAAATGTGATTTAAATATTAGGAGAAAAGTTTTCATACCAGGTTTCCCATGTACTCATTGAATGCAAGACTGCATTGCAACTTACTCATATTTTATCATTCACATTTAGAATAGAATAAATTATCAATTAAATTTTAATGTATAAATAAGTGAATATTTTAAATTAACTTTCTCAAGAATATAAGTAAAGAGGTAAGTTACATTAATGATATTTGTTAATATCAAACAGATAATTTCTAATTGATTCTCTTGTACTAGTTCATGAAAAAGAAGTAAACATTTAATGGGTTTCCCTGGTGGAACAATGATTAAGACTTCCAATGCAGAGGGTGCGGGTTTGATCCCTGGTCGGGGAGCTAAGATCCCACATGCCTCGGCGCCAAAAAACCAAAAACATAAAAAACAGAAGCAATATTGTAACAAACTCAATAAAGACTTTAAAATGGTCCACATCAAGAAATCTTTTTTTAAAAAGTAAACATTTAAGAATTATTTTGGAAAATAGTGTATCTAGGAAATAATTAAGATATCAGTATGCCAGTTAGTGCTTTGATGGATCTTGAAAGGTAGTAGCTAGTTTTAAAATGAGAGACAAAATTAAAAATTTTTAAATATCATGGACTTCATATTGAGATGGCTTTCACAACTTACTGTAATACTTCACATTTCGTGACATTTAAGTGTATACTATCTGCAAATTGGAATGGCACAGGGAATTTATAACAGAGTAGATCCCATAATGATTATTATGAGATGAAGTTAATACTAAAGGAACTATATGAGTTTAAAGTTGTGCTAATGTGTGGTTAAGGTATCAGTGAATAATATCTACTCTCACTTAGACATCTCTTTTGGCAACTGAATCAAGAAAATGTAAATAAGGAATAAGAAATCAATAAGAATTTATACAGTGATGTATTGTGACTCCTGGAGATATGAGCACACCTGGATATAATTTTAAATCTTACCATTTACCTAGAGTAGAAATGTAGAAGCCAGACTTCCAGTAGGACAGATTCCATCTGACCATTCACACTTTCTGTACACTAGTCTCAAGAAGGTGGTGAGTAGCTATAGTACTCTAGGTGGGATGACTCATCCCAAGAAAGAGCTTCAGCCATTTGTTTTTCTCTGTAAAGCCTCAGATGAACTTTTCTGATTCCCAGGAAATATATACTCACTGTATTTTGAGGCTTATCAACTCTAAGGCACTAATATATTTCCCACAGGAACAGATTATCCTTAAATGAAGTTCAGTATTTCCCCACCAAACTCCTCAATTCCTTTAATAGCAGATCCCAGATAGAAATTGATATTCTGGCCTATCTGTGAAATGGCTAAAGCTAAGATCACTTAGTGGAAGTTATTTCTTGATTCATCAATTCATCATTTGGGAGGAAATAAACCAGCAAATAACTAAGGACAAAAGAGTAGTAGAAGACAGTAATTTCACCCCAAGACATCTTCCTTTTGTTGAAAAAAAAAGTGTTTTTAATTTCCCTTCCAAGTGTAACATTTACTTATTTACTCATCAAGTTTAGTGTTTTAATTACCCAACATAGTAGTTACCAATGAAAATGTAGTCATTCAATGCCAGTCTTTGCCTTTTGGAAAAACTCTAACTTCATTAGGAATATAGTTGCTGCCAGGTGAAATTAAGTGAGCTCAGTCTTGGAAAATGTTATCACGGGCATAGTGTGTGGTACCAAAGGAAGGTGGTCAATCTCTGCACAGTGGGAGGTCTGCATACATTAGTCCAGTGATATACTTTAAGCGTAACTAAGCACCCCCACTAACATAAAGACTGGGTTAAAGTACTCTCCACTTGTATGAAGAAAAAGTCCCACCACCTGGTCACCCCACAATGTGACTTTAAAAAAAATTTTTTTAATTAAACAAAATTGAGGGAGATTTTTTTTCTCAATAAACTCTCTACTGTGCCTTAAAACTCTAAGGATTTTGCAAATGTGAAATCTTTTTACTACTGAAAGACATACCTAAGATTAGCAATGATTTCTAAGTGATGTCATGTGTTGTAATGAGTTATGATATATACTTTGGATGTCTTGCCGTTAAAAATCTGTTCAGGCTGCTTTAAAATACATGAAAAGAAAAACTAACATATTAAATGTTGAATAAACAGATAAAGATAAATGAATTCTTTTTTTTTTTTTTTTTTTTTTGCGGTACGCGGGTCTCTCACTTTTGTGGCCTCTCCCGTTGCGGAGCACGCGCTCCGGACGCGCAGGCTCAGCGGCCATGGCTCACGGGCCCAGCCGCTCCACGGCATGTGGGATCTTCCCGGACCGGGGCACGAACCCATGTCCCCTGCATCGGCAGGTGGACTCTCAACTACTGCGGCACCAGGGAAGCCCGATAAATGAATTCTTGATCAAAAGAATAATTTAGGAAATTCCCAACATATTCTGACAGAATGGATGGTGTAAATTGAAAATATGTATTCCATAATCATCCTCTTTAAATTTTTTCCAATTGTGATTTTTTAATTTGAGAAAAACTATTTACACGTAATGTTAAGCTTTCAAATTTTGCTGAAGTGTTTTCTCAATACTTTAATCCTATTTTTCATGGCAAGATTTAATTAAGGAAAATCCAAAATGTAAAAATAAGAAAAGCATTTAAGTTCTTCTCAATGCAAAAAATTGATTTCTAATTCACACCATATATTGTACAAGATAATGATACAAAATGAAAGCAGAGCTATGAATCAAAATAATTAATAGAATGTGTATGGCTGATTCATTTTGTTGTGCAGTGGAGGCTAACACAACGTTGTAAAACAACTGTACTCCAATAATAATTAATTTTAAAAATTAATAGAATCATAGAGAACAAAGAAAATAGAACAATTTTAGAGCCGACAGAAAAAAAAATTAAAAGACTCACCTTTCCGAACTGTTCTGATTCCGAGAGTTGTTGCCTTTCTTCTGCTGAGTCTGGACCTTGAGGTAAGCTGGGGCTGAAGGCCATGAGGTCTGCCTTGGGCGGCCCCTCCCCAG